GCAGGAGCTGTCTCAGTGGGATGGTGGAGATGGAGCCCAAATGCAGAGGTGAATAGAGGATGGAGGGTGTAGCGTTTTCAGAATGTCTTGTATAATTAGGGAAAAGATGGTGAGACAGGAGAGATTAATGAGCCAGGAGGGAGAGGGGACCGTTGCTACATCAGGGGCAGAGGAGGGGTGGGCCTCCTCCCAGGTGGAGGGAATGCCTCAGGGGGCGGCCTGGGTACAGAGAGGCTTGCTGTGTCCGGGATAGGAGTCCAGGAGGAGTGAGGGGGCAAAATGCTCGTCGATGCCCTGAATCTGTTGAGGGCGTTGCGATGAGCGTTCACTTATTTTCTGAAGTAGATCCTTTTTGAAGTCGAGGTGAGAAGTAGGGGTGTGGAAGGCATGAGGAGGGTGGCGAAGGCTGGAGATGGCCGTGGTGGGGACTGAGGAGGACCGGAACCAGGACAGGAGGAATTGCTGACTGGTGACCTGTGTGAGATTCCCAGACATTCCTGGCTCCCTTTCTAGGATTCTAGCACCCAGCCCTGAGAGAAACAGAGCCTGCTGGCATCCTTCTAACACTCAATGGCATTATGACAAAGGAAGAGTAAGAAGAGAATGGACAGTAATCTTGAGTATTTTTAGCAGAGGAGGGCTGAAGTTTTGGAGAGTTGAGTAGAGTTGCTGGGAAGCACCGAGCCTGCTTTGAATGGGACTCCGATAAGGCCATGTCTGGGTTTTAGTAAATATATTAATTATTGATCTATCTAGGGAATTCAGATGCAGATCCAGTCATCTCATAAATACTGATATTTTAAGAAAGAAACCCAGACACCTGGACGTCGTTGCTAGGCTGTGGGTCCCTGGATGACCCTATAAGAGGACATGCCCCAGAGATGGTGTATTCAGCTCTGTTGGCAGGAGATACTCTCAAGCAAAGAATGGGAGAACGAAGCTGCCTAGAGTAAGGGTACCTGTTTCCCGGACCCCAGAGGACTGTGAGGGAGTCAGACCACAGGGAGACTAGAAGGCAAAGGCTGTTCAGAATGTAGGGCCTCTAGCAAAAGTTCACAGATCTTCCCTCTCCTATTCTTCTGTTATCCTGACTAGGCCATTTCCCCTTGCTCCTTTCCTACCTGTGACCCT